TTAAAAGTCGCTGTACCGTAGTTTATTATAATCACTTATGTGTTGCATAGTGGATAGTCCTACCATGAAAAAATTAAACGAGTTATGACATGTCACACGTGTAAAATATATTTGGGATAGTCCGCACCTCCATATACCCCGCAGGGTTTTGTTTTGTTTGTAAAAAGTGGTATACCCCGCGGGATATACGCGGGAAAATATGGTAGGCATGGAAGTTGGAAGGTGCTCTTCTCTGTCGTCTGGTTGACAGCACAGTTTAGATTGCGTTCAATGAATTTAATATTGCCGTCCCAATTACAATCATCTTCCCTTGACGTGAAGCAGGAACCTCGGTCACTGATGATGCGAGCAGATAGTCCGTCTTCGTTGATTAATGATTTGAGTGCTGTGAGTACATCTTGTGGTGAGGTGTCGTTGATATGGTATAGCTGAAACACTGCTTCTTGAATAAGCACGGCTCAGAGGTCATCGAAGACTGCCTGTTGCTCATCCGTTCCATTGAAGTCGGCATTTTTCTGCGTGGGCCTGCTCAGGAGTTATATGAAGTGATGAGAGGTAAATTGATGGGAGATGAAGCGATGAGAGATGAAGTGGTGGTGAGAGATAAAGCGATGAGAGATAAAGTGATGAGAGATAAAGTGACGAGAGATAAAGTGACTAGAGATGAAGTGATGAGAGATAAAATAATGAGATAAAATGATGAGAGATAAAGTGATGAGAGGTAAAGTGACGAGAGATACAGTGAATATAGAGATAAAGCAGTGAGAGATAAATTTCGATTTAAAGCTTTCGTGACTGCAATGATTCATCTTCTTTGGTTCTTTCGGTAAAGTCACGTAGAATGAGAATAAAATAATAAATTGTGTTATTTTATTTTATCAATTTTATTATTTTATTCTAATTCTACGTGACTTTACCGAAAGAACCAAAGAAGACAGTGAGAGATAATCAATGCATCCAAGTATATACTCTACGCCCGTCCTTGTGGAAGAGATACATGGATGACACGTTTGTCATCTGGCCACGTGGCCGACCGGCTCTGAAACAATTCCTCAAACACATCAATTACATACACCCAGCAATCAAATTCTCCAAGGAGGTAGAAACAGGCATGCTACCTTTCTTGGATGTCTTAATCAAAATGAGACCAGATAGCTCATTGAGCCACTCTGTCTACAGGAAAGTAACTCATACCGATGCCTACCTAAAACCTGATTTCCACCATCATCCATCCCACCAGAATTTCCTCATCAAAACGCTACACCATGGAGCTCAATGTATCTCCGACCATGAACACCTGACCAGTGAACTCAAACACCTACACAAAGCTTCCAAGGCAAATGGATATTCTGCCTATACAATCTGCAAAGCCATCACCCCAACCGTGAGGAAGGAGCCATCTGAAGATCCAATCAAAACCATTACCTTGCTTTACATAGCAGGGATAACCAAAATGTTTCTAAAATCTTGAACAAACAGGTCCAGGTCCGATTTAACACTGTGTAAAATTCGTGATCTGATCCCATCTGTGAAGGACAAGATTCCTGACATGCAATATCCCGGCCTCGACAAACTTAAGCTGTATCTGCGGCAGCAGTTACCTTGGGGAAACTAAACTTCATGTCTCGGACCGTGTTCGTGAACATAATGGAGATCTGAAACACGGCAGGACCAATACTTCTGCCATGGCTGATCATTTACTTTAATGCGGCTGGCTCACGTGAAGTTGATTTCCCTAAGACGATGGTACTTGCAAGCCCACTGGCTATCAACAAAAATAAGTTCACGAAGCCATCCATATATACCGACACAGACACAATTTCAACTTAGAAATCATTGGAAAGATGTCATCAACCACTTTGGGCCATGACTTTATTTGTGTTTTCGTGTCAACCTCTACCGTCAGCAGTGTGGATGTTTGTAGCGAGGTGCAATGCCCCCCCCCCATCGCTACCCCCCTCTTTCTCCCCCTATCTATACCCCCTTCCTACCTCCATTGTCTACTTCTACATTGGCACTGGCTGACTTACACCGCTCAGCTCTCCTCCTCCCAGCTACCGAATTGTCGACTCCTACATTGCCACTCGCTCAGTGGCTGCCCCGTCCATGCTGTTTGCGCCGCGAAGCCCTCCTCCTCCCAGCTCTCGTCCCCCGTCCACTAACTTTGGAAGACCTTAGTATAAGCAGTTGCATTTGGAGGCTTGCCCCCTCTTTTCTCTCTGCCTGATGAAGATCGCTTGGTGTTGCGATCGAAACGTCGTGGGTTTTTTGCTTTTATTATTATTATTTTTTTTATTTTACATTTTTAATTCTAATTTTATTTTATTCTTTTATTTTTTGTATTTTCATGTCTATGTTGCGTCCTATAACTAACCACACGGAGACGTCTGCTGGAGGCAACACGTTTATTGAATAACTCTTAACACTCTGTTAAAGCTACTCTGTTAACCACTACTCTATTAACATGGAGAGGTGCGACCGCTTCCACTCGATATTCTAAGGGAGAGACAGCCTCCCTTCTAGCGTACTCTACCCACTCCGGGCTACGCACACGCCGGTCCCTTGCGACGGCGGCTAGGAGAAGGCTGGACCGACCGACCCACCCAGAAGTACGGGACTCGCCCTGGACCGCTTCAACCCCGGCTTAGCGAGAGCCTCGGGGAGGGTCCCAGGGGGTCCGAGCTACCTCGGCTCCGCTACAACCGGCTTACGAGAGCCACGGTTGAGGGTACCCGGGTCGCTGGTCCAGTCTTCAGATCTTCAGATGTCTTCGAGCTTGAGTTGGTCAGTACTGCCACGACCGTCCCGAGGGGCCGGCCTTTAATCTCCAGGTCGGGGTCACCCCTCCCCTCATGAACCCCCCCCCCCTCCAGAACCTTCTGGAAGATCTTAGAGGGTCTCAATTTTTTGTACAGCCATTTCCTTTTCTAAGTGGTTGTATTTCAAACTTTAGCTACCTTATAATTGAACAGCCATTTTGCACCCGCTTTCAAAATCCCCCCCGACCCCCCCATGCAGCTTCAGCCGTTTGCACCCGCTTCCAAAATCTCCCTGAACCCACACTCAGCATAACAAAAGTTGGGTTTTTTACCCACTCCCGTGCAGTGCGAAGTGGTTGTTACCCGCAGCAGCCTATCAAAAGGCTGCTTAACCCAGCCCTTCCACCTACCCACGCCCCCTTACTGACTCCTCCCCGCTCCCTTAACCTGCATATAATCCCGGTCGTCTCTGAACTGTGCTCCTGACACCGATATTCTGCGCTGACTTTTCCACCTGAAGACGGAAGCTTGTGTCGCCTCCGAAACGTCGTGATTTTACTATTTTGTTTTATTTTATCTACGTGACTTTACCGAATAAAACCAAAGAGTATGGTCTTAATTCTTAAGAGGTCTTAGGAAGTGGAGGGGGGGGCATCATCCCCCTCAGCCCCCAGCCCCTGGGGTCTGGGGTGTCAACCTCCGGTCACGGAGGGGCGAGGTTTCACCTTCGGTCAATCCTTTACCCACCTCGCTCTCTCTCTCTCTCGGCTGCCCCCTGTCGGCCCGTGAGCGTGGCGGCAGGTCAGCTGCCTACAGCGCCTTGTTATGGCGCAACATCTACGTGACTTTATCGAAAGAAACAAGAATATAGAGAAAAGTAACGAGGGATAAAGTAACGAGGGATAAAGTAACGGGAGATGCAATGATGAGAGATGCAATGATGAGAGATGCAATGATGAGAGATAAGGGGCCGTCCATAAATGACGTCACGCAGACATTTGTGACGATGTGTGACGAGGGGGGGAGGGGTTTGAGAAATGTGACGTCACATAAAAATGCACGACTTCAAATGAATATAGACAACACGTTCTAACTTAATTAAATAGACTTTTTAATAAATGTTTTCTCCTACAACATCAGAGTGCAGCGCTACATTAAAAACGCACTACAATGACAACAATAGTTTAAAGCGATTCGAAGCGTATTCTTGGTTCTTTCGGTAAAGTCACCACCACGTAGAAGGGAAACAATAAAATGATAAAAATATAAAACGATAAAATCCTCACGACGTTTCGACTGCAACACAAGAAGCAGTCATCATCAGCTGTGAAAACCACAGCAAGAAAATTTGAAAAAAGTGGCGTTTTTTTTTAACGAAAGAACCAAGAATATGAATCTCTGCAGTCACGAAAGCTTTAAATCAAGATTTGAAGCATGTTTATATATTTTTTGGGATGGGGGGCAGAGCTTTGGGGGGGGGGGGGGTGGGTCTGACTTTTTGTGAGGCCGTGTGACTAGGGGGGGCGGGGGGGGTGAAAAATCGTCCAAAATCGAGTGACGTAATTTATGGACAGCCCCTAAAGTGATGAGAGATGAGAATTATTCTTGCTTCTTTGGGTAAAGTCACGTAGAATGGAAATAAAATAAGTGAAAATGAACATAATAAAATAAAAATTAAATTAAATTAAAATAAAAAATAAAATAAAAAATAATATAAAATAACGCCAACCCCAACCCCTCCCGCACCGCACGGATTGAGTTCGCAGATGGGGCCAACGTTGGGGTGGAAACGGATCGCGTTCGTAAGTCGAGGAGTTGCCCCTCCACTCATCAACCACCAACACCCACCCATCACTTAGCCCCGTCCCCCCTCGGCGTGTTGCGTTGATTCCCCGGAATCGATTTTTGTTGCCGTTGCGGAATCGACAGTTTGCTCGGAATCGATCGGAGGAATCGATTCCCCCCCCCCATCGCACAACTTCCACCATTGCTCAGTCGCTTCAGGTCACGCAGCAAGAAGCAAGCAGCAAGCAGCAAGAAGCAAGCAGCAAGAAGCAGGCAGCAGGAAGCAGGCAGCAGCAAGAAGCAGGCAGCAAGAAGCAGGCAGCAAGAAGCAGGCAGCAAGCAGCAGGCAGCAAGCAGCAGCAGCATCAAGAAGCAGGCAGCAAGAAGCAGGCAGCAAGAAGCAGGAAGCAAGAAGCAGGCAGCAAGAAGCAGGCAGCAAGAAGCAGGCAGCAAGCAGCAGGCAGCAAGAAGCAAGAAGCAGGCAGCAAGCAGCAGGCAGCAGCAGCAGGCAGCAGCAGCAGCATCAAGAAGCAGGCAGCAGCAGCAGCATCAAGAAGCAGGCAGCAGCAGCAGGCGTTGGTTCCGTGTGAACGCTTCTGAAGACGGCGCAGGCGATCGGGGACTTCAATTCGGTAAACTTTGAACGTTGCAGCAAAAATCGTTGAAATAATTTAAATTAATAAAAAAAAGTTTCGTCGTCGTCGGCGGCGTTGTTGTTGTTCCGCCCGGGGCCTGCCGCCCTGGTCGGTAGGGGATTCTAGGCGAACGAGGAGGGCCCGAGAGCCCGTCGGGGCCTACAGGAGGCGGGGTGAAAAAAAGTTTTAAAAGTTACATTAACGATCAAACAGCAGCAGCATCATCATCATAATCAGCAGCAGTAGCGTCAGCAGCAGTATCAGCAGCAGTGTCATCAGCAGTAGTGTCAGCAGCAGTATGATCATCAGCAGCAGTGCCATCAGCAGCTTCATCAGCAGCGTCATCAGCAGCTTCATCAGCAGCATCATCAGCAGTATCATCAGCAGCAGCAGTGTCATCAGCAGCGTCATCAGCAGCTTCATCAGCAGCGTCATCAGCAGCTTCATCAGCAGTGTCATCAGCAGTGTCATCAGCAACTTCAGCAGTGTCATCAGCAACTTCATCAGCAGTGTCATCAGCAGCTTCATCAGCAGTGTCAATTGCAACTTCATCAGCAGTGTCATCAGCAGCAGTGTCATCAGGAGCAGTTTCGTCAGCAGCAGCTTCATCAGCAGTAGTGTCATCAGCAGTGTTAGCAGCAGTAGCATCAGCAGTAGCTTCATCAGGAGTAGTGTCATCAGCAGTAGCAGCATAAACTCAGCAGCAGTAGCATCAGCAACAGTGTCATCAGTAGCAGTAAGATCATCAGCAGCAGTAGTAGCATCAGCAGTGTCATCAGCAGTATCATCAGCAGTTGTCATCAGCAGCGTCCGCAATAGCACCGGCATCATCAGCATCATCATCAGCAGCAGTAGCGTCACACAGCAGCATCATCAGCAGTAGCAGCAGCATCAGCAGTAGCGTCACACAGCAGCATCATCAGCAGTGTCATCAGCATCAGCAGTAGCGTCACACAGCATCATCAGCAGTGTCATCAGCAGCAGCAGTAGCGTCACACAGCATCATCAGCAGTGTCATCAGCAGCAGCATCAGCAGTAGCGTCACACAGCAGCATCATCAGCAGTGTCATCAGCAGTAGCGTCACACAGCAGCATCATCAGCATCATCAGCAGTGTCATCAGCAGTAGCGTCACACAGCAGCATCATCAGCAGTGTCAGCAGCAGTATCAGCAGTAGCGTCACACAGCAGTGTCATCAGCAGCAGCATCAGCAGTGTCATCAGCAACATCATTTCCAACACCATGGTGCTGATGATGATCGTGATGGTGTTTGTGTCGATGATTGCTGCTGCTATGTGATCCTATAGCCTAGGGGACACCCCCAGTGGCAGCTGTCCCTGTGTGTGAGTCTGCTGCGAGTAGTAGTAGGGGTAGCGATGATTGCTGCTGCTGTGTGGTCCTATAGCCTAGGGGACACCCCCAGTGACAGCTGTCCCTGTGTTTGAGGCTGCTGCCAGTAGTAGTAGGGGTAGCGAGGATTGCTGCTGCTGTGTGATCCTACAGCCTAGGGGACACCCCCAGTGACAGCTGTCCCTGTGTGTAAGTCTGCTGACAGTAGTCGTAGGGGTAGCGATGATTGCTGCTGCTGTGTGATCCTATAGCCTAGGGGACACCCCCAGTGGCAGCTGTCCCTGTGTGTGAGTCTGCTGCCAGTAGTAGTAGGGGTAGTGATGATTGCTGCTGCTGTGTGGTCCTATAGCCTAGGGGACACCCCCAGTGACAGCTGTCCCTGTGTTTGAGGCTGCTGCCAGTAGTAGTAGGGGTAGCGAGGATTGCTGCTGCTGTGTGATCCTATAGCCTAGGGGACACCCCCAGTGGCAGCTGTCCCTGTGTGTGAGTCTGCTGCCAGTAGTAGTAGGGGTAGTGATGATTGCTGCTGCTGTGTGGTCCTATAGCCTAGGGGACACCCCCAGTGACAGCTGTCCCTGTGTTTGAGGCTGCTGCCAGTAGTAGTAGGGGTAGCGAGGATTGCTGCTGCTGTGTGATCCTATAGCCTAGGGGGCACCCCCAGCGGCAGCTGTCCCTGTGTGTGAGTCTGCTGTCAGTAGTAGTAGGGGTAGCGATGATTGCTGCTGCTGTGTGATCCTTTTGCATAGGGGCACCCCCAGCGGCAGCTGTCCCTGTGTGTGAGTCTGCTGCCAGTAGTGGTAGGGGTAGCGAGGATTGCTGCTGCTGTGTGATCCTATAGCCTAGGGGGCACCCCCAGCGGCAGCTGTCCCTGTGTGTGAGTCTGCTGTCAGTAGTAGTAGGGGTAGCGATGATTGCTGCTGCTGTGTGATCCTTTTGCATAGGGGCACCCCCAGCGGCAGCTGTCCCTGTGTGTGAGTCTGCTGCCAGTAGTGGTAGGGGTAGCGATGATTGTTGCTGCTGTGTGATCCTATAGCCTAGGGGACACCCCCAGTGGCAGCTGTCCCTGTGTGTGAGTCTGCTGCCAGTAGTAGTAGGGGTAGCGATGATTTGCTGGATTGTTTTCCATGTCTGTGTGCCTGTCCCGTGTTTCAGGAGTTGGCCATCATGCTGCGGCTGTTGCTGCTTGTGCTGGTGGTTCGGCCTGCACTGACGGAGGTGTTCACATCAATAGGTGACACACACACACGCAAACGCACACACGCACGCAAACACGCACGCAAACACGCACGCAAACACGCACACACACAACACAAAGACAAAGATCCCTTGTGTAGCCTTTAACAGACTGTCGGGGCAAGCGCTGTTAGCCGGATTTTTTTTTTTGAAGGTAAATAATCGAAAACGTAAAAATTAACCATGGGCACGCGAGCACAGCCACTTTTAAATTTCGATTCAAAGCTTTCGTGACTGCAGGGATTCATATTCTTGGTTCTTTCGGTAAAGTCACCACCACGTTAGAAGGGAAACAATAAAATAATACAAATATAAAACAATAAAATTATTGTAAAACAATAAAATTATTATTCTTGGTTATTTCGGTAAAGTCACCACCACGTTAGAAGGGAAACAATAAAATAATTTAAAAAAATATAAAACAATAAAATTATTGTAAAACAATACAATTATTATTCTTGGTTCTTTCGGTAAAGTCACCACCACGTTAGAAGGGAAACAATAAAATAATAAAAATATAAAACAATAATATTATTATTCTTGGTTATTTCGGTAAAGTCACCACCACGTTAGAAGGGAAACAATAAAATAATAAAAATATAAAACAATACAATTATTGTAAAACAATAAAATTATTATTCTTGGTTATTTCGGTAAAGTCACCACCACGTTAGAAGGGAAACAATAAAATAATAAAAATATAAAACAATAAAATTATTGTAAAACAATAAAATTATTATTCTTGGTTATTTCGGTGAAGTCACCACCACGTTAGAAGGGAAACAATAAAATAATAAAAATATATAAACCAATAAAATTATTGTAAAACAATAAAATTGTTGTTCTTGGTTCTTTCGGTAAAGTCACCACCACGTTAGAAGGGAAACAATAAAATAATAAAAATATAAAATAATAAAAATATAAAACAATAGAATTATTTTTCTTGGTTCTTTCGGTAAAGTCACCACCACGTTAGAAGGGAAACAATAAGATAATAAAAATATTTTATCGTTTTATATTTTTATTATTTTATCGTTTTTTTTAAATGGAAAAATAACGGATAAAAAAATACTCCAATACTGCGGACACGTTGACAAATGTGGTCACCTTGATTTGGTGCTTTCGTGACTGCAGGAATTACTCTTTGGTTTTTTCGGTAATGTCACCAAAGAGTAAAATGTGGTCACGTTCATAGCTTCAAAAAAGTGAAAACGTTCTCCCCGCCTTGCCTTCGCCATCTTCCCCAGGTGGTCTCTGGAGCCCGGAGGCGCATTCCTTGTGGCTGTTGTTTTCAGATTCTCAGAAGTTTTAACGCGTTTTTTTTTAAGCACCCTGTTGTACATCTCCGTACACGTCCCTGTGTGTGCATGTGTCTGTGGAGCTGAGTGGACTTGTCGATGAGCGGTACCAGCGGTGTCAAGATCGGCCTCTGTGGAGGAGGCTCGTGAAGGACGCTGCTGCTACTGGGCAGTGCCAGGCTAGGTGCACAGTGAGGCGACTGGGGCAGTTGGAGGCAGTCGCCCCTCTGGCAACAACAACGGAGGGCGGAGGAGCGACGCTCACAACAACGAGCGGAGCGCCGGGTGGCTAAAGCACAGCAAGTTGGCACAGTAGGGGGCACAGGTGGTGGTGGTGGTGAATCTACCACTCATCTCAGTCATTCAGCCCATGGCACCTGCAGGGTCTGTCCCCTGGCCTCCTCCTCATGCACCTAGCCTGGCACAGCAGCAGCAGTCAACCCATGGCACCTGCAGCGTCTGTCCCCGTGACCTCCTCCTCATGCACCTAGCCTGGCACAAGCGCCGTGGTGACGTCACAGCCACTTAGTGGCGAATGGCGCCAATTGTTGTATCTCTGTGTATCTCTGTGTGTCTCTGTGTGTATGTATCTCCGTGTGTCTCTGTGTGTATGTATCTCTGTATGTATCTCCGTGGGTCTCTGTGTGTATGTATCTCTGTGTGTATGTCTGTGTGTGTTGTTGTTGTATCTCTGTGTCTCTGTGTATCTCTGTGTGTATGTCTGTGTGTGTTGTTGTTGTATCTCTGTATCTCTGTGTATCTCTGTGTGTATGTCTGTGTGTCTCTGTGTGTATGTATCTCTGTGTCTCTGTGTGTCGCTGTGTCTATATCTGTGTGTCTCTGTGTGTATGTATCTCTGTGTATGTCTGTGTGTCTCTGTGTGTATGTATCTCTGTGTCTCTGTGTGTATGTATCTCTGTGTGTATGTCTGTGTGTGTTGCTGTGTTTTTGCAACTCCCTCCCTCCCTCGATCTTCGTCTGTCGTCTCAGGACACATGAGCGAGCTGCTCGACACCGAAGCGGATCTTCTGCTCTCTCTCGACTCGTACATCGCCGTGCAACAGAGACGTCTGCACAGCCTGAGAGCGTGAGAACAGCATCAGCAGCATCGTCATCATCAGCAGCAGCATCGTCATCATCAACATTATCAGCAGCATCGTCATCAGCAGCAGCATCGTCATCATCGGCAGCATCGTCATCATCAACATTATCAGCAGCATCGTCATCATCGGCGGCATCGTCATCATCAACATCATCATCATCATCAACATCATCAGCAGCATTGTCATCAGCAGCAGCATCAACATTATGATCATCAGCAGCATCAGCAACATCAATATCAGCAGCATCATCAGCAGCATTGTCATCAGCTTCATGATCATCAGCAGCATCAGCAACATCAATATCAGCAGCGTCATCAGCAGCATTGTCATCAGCAGCATCGTCATCATCAACATTATGTCATCATGGATAAAATAGAATATAACAACAAAATTAAAGAATTACTCGATGATGGTAGCTATACAAAAATTATAAGAGATCCCACCAACAGCCTCGTCACACAAACCAACAAAATAATTTCTGATTCAACCGCATTAATTGATCAATCTAAACAGTTTTCGTTGAAACCTTCTGCTGCCAGGCCACCAAGATTATACGGCTTACCAAAAATACACAAAGTAGATGCACCCCTTCGTCCCATCGTCTCTACTATCAACTCCCCCACCTACAAACTGGCTCGTTTTTTGTCTGAAATCCTGCGTCCTTTCACTGGAAAAAACACCTCTGTGGTACAAAATTCTACGCACCTGGTATCGAGAATCAAGGGTATTTCCCTGTCCCCAGACGACCTGCTTGTCAGTTTTGATGTAGTTTCCTTATTCACCAAAGTTCCTGTACCTGACACCATCGCAATCATTGAAGACTTGGTTCATCAAGGACTAAACACTGAGGTACCCCCCCCTGGTGAGACACTGTTTAACCAATACATACTTCACTTGGAATGGAACTTTCTACAAACAAACTGAGGGCACCCCAATGGGCTCCCCCCTATTTTCGGTTATAGCTAACATTTTCATGGAGAAATTTGAGACTAACGCCATCCAGACTGCCACTCTGCGCCCAACCATATGGAAGAGGTACGTGGATGACACTTTTGTCATCTGGCCACATGGCCGGCCTGCTCTAGACCAATTCTTCGACCACATCAATTCCATACACCCAGCCATCAGATTTACCATGGAAGTTGAAAAAGATGGCAAGCTACCTTTTTTGGATGTCCTAATAAAAAAGAGACCTGATGGTTCAATTAGCCACTCTGTCTACAGGAAAGCTACCCATACAGATGCTTATCTGAAACCGGATTTCCACCATCATCCATCACAGAAGAATTCTCTCATCAAGACTCTGTACCATAGAGCCCAATGCATATCCGGCCAGGAACACATAGGCAGTGAACTCAAGCACGTACACCAAGCTCTTAAGGCTAATGGTTACTCCGACTATACAATCCGCAAAGCTATCACTAAAACTATGAAGAAGGACCCTCTTGAGGAGCCTTTCAAAACTATCACTTTACCCTACATTGCGGGGATCACAAAAAAAGATCTCCAAAATCTTGAATAAACACAAGATCCAGGTCCGTTTCAACACATTACATAAAATCCGTGATTTGGTTCCGTCTGTAAAAGATGTGATTCCGGACATACAGTACCCTGGTGTCTACAAACTAAGTTGCCTCTGTGGTAGTAGTTACATTGGAGAAACCAAACGCCATGTCTTGGACCGCATTCGTGAACACAAAGCAGACCTTAAACACGGTAGGACCAACACCTCGGCCGTGGCAGATCATTGTTATAATTCAGTAGGCTCACATGACATTGACTTCTCCAAGACAGAGGTTCTTTGTAGGCCATCTGGCTACCATGAGAGATTTGTTCATGAGGCTATCCACATATACAAGCACAGAGACAATTTCAACCGAGAAGATGGATTCTGGCTTAGCAATCATTGGAAGGATTTGATAAACCATTTCAGGTCTTAATTGATTGTTCACGCTTATGGTGGCTTTCAGACAGCATACATTAATTTTTCATCTCCCCCCTCCTCTTTTCAGAACATAGATGGACTAGTCCTTCTAAATAAACTGGCAAATCGCTGTGTATGCCGCTAACGTTTTTTATAAATGAAAACACCGTTCTAAAATAAATAAATAAATGCGGACCGCTGGTTGCGTGCCTGCAAGCAGTGCAGCCGCTGGTTGGTGCGGAGGCTTCACCTAAACCACCCCCCCCCCCCCCGGGCCACCTGGAGCCCCATCATTCCCATCGTTCTCATCGTTCTCCATTGTTCTCATCGTTCTCATCGTTCTCCATCACTTCTTATCGCTTCTTATCGCTTCTTATCGCTTCTTATCGCTTCTTATCGCTTCTTACCGCTTCTTACCGCTTCGTATCGCTTCGTATCGCTTCTTCTCGCTTCTTCTCGCTTCTTCTCGCTTCTTCGCTTCTTCTCGCGTCTTATCGCGTCTTATCGCGTCTTATCGCGTCTTATCGCTTCTCACCGCTTCTCACCGCTTCTCATCGCTTCTCATCGCTTCTCATCGCTTCTCATCGCTTCTCATCGCTTCACACCGCTTCTCACCGCTTCTCATCGCTTCTCATCGCTTCTCATCGCTTCTCATCGCTTCTCACCGCTTCTCACCGCTTCTCACCGCTTCTCATCGCTTCTCACCGCTTCTCACCGCTTCTCACCGCTTCTCATCGCTTCTCATCGCTTCTAATCGCTTCTCATCGCTTCTCACCGCTTCTCACCGCTTCTCACCGCTTCTCACCGCTTCTCAACGCTTCTTATCGCTTCTTATCGCTTCTTATCACGTCTTATCACTTCTCATCGCTTCTTACCTCCATAGTAGAGGTTTGTTGGGTTGGATCGCGTAAATATAAAAATGTGTCGTTAAAACCCCCCACCGCCATCTGACGCAGCGAACGAGCAAGGGTTGTCATGCCAACAGAACATGCCACTTCGTCACGAGTACGGCACACCGGTGTGCAGTGTAGTGTGTAGTAGTGTATAGTATATAGTGTGTAGTGTAGTGTATAATGTAGTGTATAGTAGTGTGTAGTGTATAGTGTAGTGTGTAGTGTATAGTGTAGTGTATAGTAGTGAAGTGTATAGTAGTGTAGTGTATAGTAGTGTAGTGTATAGTAGTGTAGTGTATAGACGTGTATAGTAGTGTAGTGTATGGTAGTGTAGTGTATAGTGGTGTAGTGTATAGTAGTGTAGTGTATAGTAGAGTAGTGTATAGTAGTGTAGTGCATGGTAGTGTATAGTAGTGTAGCGTATAGTGGTGTTGTGTATAGTAGTTTAGTGTATAGTAGAGTAGTGTAGTGTATGGTAGTGTAGCGTATAGTGGTGTAGTGTATAGCAGTTTAGTGTATAGTAGTGTAGTGTATAGTAGTGTAGTGTATAGTGAAGTGTATAGTAGTGTATAGTAGTGTAGTGTATAGTATTGTATAGTGTAGTGTGTAGTGTAGAGTATAGTAGTGTAGTGTATAGTAGTGGAGTCTATAGTAGTGTATAGAAGTGTAGTGTATAGTAGTATAGTGTATGGTAGTGTAGTGTATATTAGTATAGTAGTGTAGTGCATAGTAGAGTAGTGTATAGTAGTTTAGTGCATAGTAGTGTAGTGTATAGTGGTGTAGTGTATAGTAGTGTAGTATATAGTAGTGAAGTGTATAGTGGTGTAGTGTAGTGTATAGTAGTGTAGTGATAGTGTAGTGTATAGTAGTGTAGTGATAGTGTAGTGTATAGTAGTGTAGTAGTGTATAGTGTATTGTAGTGTAGTGATAGTGTAGTGTATAGTAGTGTAGTGTATAGTAGTGTAGTATATAGTAGTGTATAGTAGTGGAGTGTGTAGTAGTGTAGTGTATAGTAGTGGAGTGTGTAGTGTATGGTAGTGGAGTGTATAGTCGTGGAGTGTATGGTACTAGTGTAGTGTATAGGAGTAGTGTAGTGTCTAGTAGTGTATAGTAGTATAGTATTGTATAGTAGTTTATTGTAGTGTATAGTAGTCTATAGCAGTGTAGTGATAGTGTAGTGTATAGTAGTTACAGCACACCGGTGTGTAGTGTAGTGTATAGTCTAGTGAATAGTAGTGCAGTGTATAGTAGTGTAGTAGTCTAGTGTATAGTAGTGCAGTGTAGTGTGTAGTAGTGCAGTGTATAGCAGTGTAGTGTATAGTAGTATATAGTGTAGTGTATAGTAGTGTAATGTGTAGTAGTGTAGTGTATAGTGTATAGTAGTGTAGTATATAGTGTATAGTAGTGTAGTGTATAGTATAGTGTAGTGTGTAGTAGTTTAGTGTATAGTAGTGTAGTAATATTATAGTGTGTAGTAGTGAATTGTATAGTAGTGTAGTGATAGTGTATTGTATAGTATAGTAGTGCATAGTAGTACAGCACACCGGTGTGTTGGAGAGCCAAGCCACAGCATTTACAATCTGAGTATGACGTTTCGCCAGTAATTACAACCAGCTTCATCTTCTTACTTCTTACCACCCTTACTTCTTACCACTTCTTACCACCCTTCTTACCACTTCTTACCTCTTCTTACCACCCTTACTTCTTCCACTTCTTACTTCTTACCACTTCTCACCACCCTCACTTCTTACCGCCCTCGCTGATCTTGGCCTGCCTTCGTGGTCGTCGTCCGCCGGCACTTTTCTCCGTCTCGTGGCTGTCGAGGAGGCAAAAAGGGCACGAGGTGGCCGCTCCTCGTGACGCCGATTCCCTCCACCGGTTCAAAGTCCTTGATCCTCCCCTCATTCTCTCCCCAAGCCCTCTCCACACCGTCACCTCTAATGCCTCCCGCCTTCGCTCGTTTTTGAAACGCCAGTTCTATAACGAACAGATCAGCCCCCATTTTCATGACACCGTGCATGATCGAGCCCGACACCTATTTCACGATTTGTTGTGTTCATTTGACCAGAGCTACGTAGCTCTGCTTCAGAAGCGGCCTCGCCACAAATGGTAGCCCAACGGGGGTTGGCTTACGTGGGAATGCGTAGCGGCCAAATGCTTGCAAACGCACGGTGAATCTGCATGTGGAGGGCAAAAAGCCTGAGGAAGCCCGTGGGAAAAATCCACGCGGCTGCGGGGGGGGGGGGGGGGGGGGGGGCGGGGGAGGGGGGGGGGGGGAGAGACGCACAAACTCCAAATGCACGGGCATTGTCAGAGTCAAGATCGAACCCACGGCCTCATGTATACCGGGCAAGGCAGTGTACATGTCGCCACATGCAACCTGCAAATATACAGCAGCAGCAGCAGGCATCAGGGTCGGGATTGAACCCACAACCTCCTGCATATCAGGCGATGTAGTTAACATCTCCTAGCCACCCACCCACTCGCCCAACCACCACCCCCCCACCGCTCTCACCGCTCTCACCGCGCTCTCCCTCGCAGGTGGGCGGAGTCTATACAGGAAGTCCGCCGCTCCGCGACCCTCGACCCGGAAGGGTTCCTGGGCAATCCGGTCAACGCCTACCGGCTACTCAAGAGGCTGGGGCAGCAGTGGCGGGCGCTGGACGACTCGGCCATCATGAACCCGGCCACCGGTGGGTAGCAAGCGAGCCGTACGCACTCAGCTCACACTCAGCTCACACTCACTCAGCTCACACTCACTCAGCTCACACTCACTCAGCTCACACTCACTCATTCACTCAGCTTACACTCACTCAGCTTACACTCAGCTCACACTCACTCAGCTTACACTCACTCAGCTCACACTCACTCAGCTCACACTCACTCATTCACTCAGCTCACACTCACTCAGCTCACACTCAGCTCACACTCACTCAGCTCACACTCACTCAGCTTACACTCACTCAGCTCACACTCACTCAGCTCACACTCACTCATTCACTCAGCTCACACTCACTCAGCTCACACTCACTCAGCTCACACTCACTCAGCTTACACTCACTCAGCTCACACTCAGCTCACACTCACTCAGCTTACACTCACTCAGCTCACACTCAGCTCACACTCAGCTCACACTCACTCATTCACTCAGCTCACACTCACTCAGCTCACACTCACTCAGCTTACACTCACTCATTCATTCAGCTCACACTCACTCAGCTCATACTCAGCTCACACTCACTCAGCTCACAATCAATCAGCTTACACTCACTCAGCTCACACTCACTCATTCACTCAGCTCACACTCACTCAGCTTACACTCAGCTCACACTCACTCAGCTCACACTCACTCAGCTTACACTCACTCAGCTCACACTCACTCAGCTCACACTCAGCTCACACTCACTCAGCTTACACTCACTCAGCTTATACTCACTCATTCACTCAGCTCACACTTACTCTCAGCTTACACTCAGCTCACACTCACTCAGCTCACACTCAGCTTACACTCACTCAGCTTACACTCATTCACTCAGCTCACACTCACTCAGCTCACACTCAGCTCACACTCACTCAGCTTACACTCACTCAGCTCACACTCACTCAGCTCACACTCACTCATTCACTCAGCTCACACTCACTCAGCTTACACTCAGCTCACACTCACTCAGCTCACACTCACTCAGCTCACACTCACTCAGCTTACACTCACTCAGCTCACACTCGCTCAGCTCACACTCAGCTCACACTCACTCAGCTTACACTCACTCATTCACTCAGCTCACACTTACTCTCAGCTTACACTCAGCTTACACTCACTCAGCTCACACTCACTCGGCTCACACTCACTCAGCTTACACTCACTCAGCTTACACTCACTCAGCTCACACTCACTCAGCTCACACTCACTCATTCACTCAGCTCACACTCACTCAGCTTACACTCACTCAGCTCACACTCACTCAGCTTACACTCACTCGGCTTACACTCACTCAGCTCACATTCACTCAGCTCACACTCACTCATTCACTCAGCTCACACTCACTCAGCTCACACTCACTCAGCTCACACTCACTCAGCTCACACTCACTCAGCTCACACTCACTCAGCTCACACTCAGCTTACACGCGCTCAGCTTACACTCACTCAGCTCACACTCACTCATTCACTCAGCTCACACACACTCAGCTCACACTCACTCAGCTTACACTCACTCAGCTCAAACTCACTCAGCTCACACTCACTCAGCTCACACTCACTCAGCTCACACTCACTCAGCTTACACTCACTCAGCTCACACTCACTCAGCTCACACTCACTCAGCTCACACTCACTCAGCTCACACTCACTCAGCTCACACTCACTCAGCTCACACTCACTCAGCTTACACTCACTCAGCTCACACTCACTCAGCTCACACTCACTCAGCTCACACTCACTCAGCTCACACTCACTCAGCTCACACTCACTCAGCTTACACTCACTCAGCTCAAACTCACTCAGCTCACACTCACTCAGCTCACACTCACTCAGCTCACACTCACTCAGCTCACACTCACTCAGCTCACACTCACTCAGCTTACACTCACTCACTCATTCACTCAGCTCACACTCACTCAGCTTACACTCACTCACTCATTCACTCAGCTTACACTCACTCAGCTCACACTCACTCAGCTTACACTCACTCATTCAGACTCACTCAGCTCACATTCACTCATTCACTCAGCTCACACTCACTCAGCTCAAACTCAGCTTACACTCACTCAGCTCACACTCAGCTCACACTCACTCAGCTTATACTCACTCAGCTTACACTCACTCAGCTTACACTCAGTCAGCTCACACTCACTCAGCTCTCACTCAGCTTACACTCACTCAGCTTACACTCACTCAGCTTACACTCACTCAGCTCACACTCACTCAGCTCACACTCACTCAGCTCACACTCACTCAGCTCACACTCACTCAGCTCACACTCACTCAGCTCACACTCACTCAGCTCACACTCACTCAGCTCACACTCACTCAGCTCACACTCACTCAGCTTACACTCACTCAGCTCACACTCACTCAGCTCACACTCACTCAGCTCACACTCACTCAGCTCACACTCACTCAGCTCACACTCACTCAGCTTACACTCACTCAGCTTACACTCACTCACTCAGCTTACACTCACTCATTCACTCAGCTCACTCAGCTTATACTCACTCAGCTTACACTCACTCACTTGATCGCCCACTCACTCGATCGTTCATTCACTCTGATGGCTCATTCATTCACTCGATCGCTCGCTTATTCACTTGATCGCTCGCTCATTCATTCACTCGTGCACTTGCTCATTCACTCAGCTTAGATTCGTTCACTTGATCGTTAATTCACTCTAATCACTAGCTCATTCGCTCGATCGCTCATTCACTCAATTGCTCATTTACCCTCTCATTCACTCTGTCACTTACGCTCTTACTCATTCACTCGATTGCTCACTCATTCACTCGCTCACTCCTTCACTTACTCACTCGATCTCTCACTCATTCACTCGCTCACTCGTTCACTCACTCGATCCTTCGCTCATTCACTAATTCGCTCGTCGACTCATTCATTCACTCAGCTTACACTCGCTCGATTGCTCACTCTATCGCTCAATCGATCACTCATTCACTCGCCCGCTAACTTGCTTGCTCATGCACTCGCTCAATCGTTCGCTTGTTCACTCACTCGCTCATTCTCTCCGTCATTTGCTCGCTCTATCACTCGCTCACCCACTCGCTCACCCACTCGCTCATTCACCCGCTCACCCACTCGCAAACCCACTCGCTCATTCACTTGCTCGCTCATTCACTCACTCGCACATTCGCTCAATCACCCGCTCACCCCCTCGCTCACCCACTCGCCCATTCACTTGCTCGCTCATTTATTTACTCATTCACCTACTCACCCACTCGCTCACCCACTCGCTCATTCGCTCACTTGCTTATTTACTCGCTCACGCATCCGTACATTTGCTCATTCACCCACTGACCCACTCGCTCACCCACTCGCTCATTCATTCACTCGCTCATTCACTCGCTTACCCACTCATTCACTTACTCGCTCATTCAGCCACTTGCCCACTCACTCATTCACTTGCTCGCTCATTCACTCCCTTATTCGCTCACCCACTCGCTTATTCGCTCACCCACTCGCTCATTCGCTTACCCTCTTGCTCACTCGCTCATTCACCCACTCGCTCACCCACTTGCTCATTGACTTGCTCGCTCGTTCACTCGCTTACCCACTCGCTCATTCACTCATTTACCCACTCACCCACTCGCTCACCTGCTTGCTCATTCACTCACTTACCTACTCGCTCACTCGCTTATTCGCTCACTAGCTCATTCACCTGCTCACCCCCTCGCTCACCCACTCGTTCATTCGCCCACTCGTTCACCCACTCGCTCACCCACTCGCTTACCCACTCGCTCGCTCACTCACCCAGAGCTCGTTTTGTCTCCGTCTCCCTCTTACCCAGAGTTCCTAGCGAACGTATCTGCCCAGCGTCTGCGGCTGCCCACCGAGGAGGACGTCACCGGGGCAGCCAAGGCCCTGATGCGTCTACAGGACACCTACAGACTGAGGACACGCGACATCGCAGATGGGAACCTACCAGGTACTCACTCATCCACAGAAAGACTCACTCACAGAGGTACTCACAGAGGTACTCACAGAGAGTCTCACTCACAGAGGTACTCACAGAGAGTCTCACTCACAGAAGTACTCACAGAGAGTCTCACTCACAGAATTACTCACTCTGTGAGACCTTCTATGTCTGTGGCTGCTGTCAGCCTGGGCCGGGTCTCAGACCCTAAGTCTCTGAATCTCTAGACCCTGAATTTCTAGACCATGAGTCTCTAGACCCTGAGTCTCGAGTCTTTAGACCCTGAGTCTCTGAGTCTCTAGACCCTGAGTCTCTAGACCCTGAGTCTCTGAGTCTCTAGACCCTGAATCTCTAGACCATGAGTCTCTAGACCCTGAGTCTCTGAGTCTCTATACCCTGAGTCTCTAGACACTGAGTCTCTGAGTCTCTAGACCCTGAGTCTCTGAGTCTCTAGACCCTGAGTCTCTAGACCCTGAGTCTCTGATTCTCCAGACCCTGAGTCTCCAGACCCTGAGTCTCTAGACCCTGAGTCTCTAGACCCTGAGTCTCTAGACCCTGAGTCTCTAGACCCTGAGTCTACACCAGACATGGGCAAAGTACGGCCCCCGGGCCGTATACGGCCCGTTGGGCTTTTTAATCCGGCCCGCCGAACTTGTCCAAATATTATTATTATTAAATTAAATTTTACCTTTCTCCTGTAATGCCCCCATTTCCCCATTAGATGGCGCACTTTGACCGGGAGTGTGGTGTATAGGGCTCGAAAGGGCACATGATCTCGCAATGCATTGTGGGCCGTCAGCGCCATTTTCAGGGTTTGTTTACATTGCCGCGTTGGATTCGGTGCTCCCTTCACTTTTTCGCTTTGCCCTGTGAGCCCTTCTGTAAAATGAGCGGATGAAGGAAACGAAAAGTGGACAATGAGTGCCGAGTGTTTAACACGGAGTGGACAACAAAATGCCGAGAAACTGTCGCAGTTTTCAAGGAGTGCAACATCAGCCGTCACTTGGCTACGAAGCATACTAACGACGCTAAAAAGGAGTCAACGCAAGGCTCAGAGGTTGGCGGCTAAATTTACAGACTCGGCAACATTTTTTTCACCGACAAACTGCGCTTCAAGAGTCGGCTACCAAGGCAAGTTTTTTTGGTGGCATTCGAAATGGCAGAGGCTAGCAAGCCTTTCTCCGAAGGCGAGTTTGTAAAAGAATGCATGGTACAGACAGCAGGCATCTTGTGTCCGGAGATCAAAAGCAAATTTGAAAAAGTCAGTTTATCACGCAGGACTGTGACTCGCCGTGTGGAACTGATTGATGAAAATATAGCCGGCCAATTAAGCAAAAAGTCTGATTTCTTTGAGTTATATTCACTAGCACTGGATGAAAGTACGGACGTAAAAGACAATGCTCAGCTCCTCATTTTTATCTGAGGCATTGACGACAGTTTTTAAATAACAGAGGAGTTTTTGACCATAGAGTCCCCTGAAAGGAACAAAGTGGGGAGAGGACTTGTATAACCAGGTGTCTGCTGTCATCGAAAGAATGAAGCTACCTTGGAGTAAACTTGTCAATGTCACAACGGATGGATCGCCAAATTTATCTGGAAAAAAATGTTGGGCTGCTGAAAAGAATCCAGAATAAAGTGAAAGAGGAAAACCCTGACCAGGATCTTATTTTCCTTCACTGCATCATCCATCAGGAATCCCTGTGTAAGTCTGTATTGCAGCTTAATCATGTCGTGAATCCAGCCGTAAAATTTGTTAACTTTATACGAGCAAGGGGACTTCAGCACCGTAAGTTTATTATGTTCCTGGAGGAAACTGATGCGGATCATCAGGACTTGCTGTACCACTCTCGTGTCCGCTGGTTAAGTTTGGGCAAAGTGTTACAACGAGTGTGGGAGCTGAAAGAGGACATCATCGCATTTTTGGAGTTGATGGGGAAATCTGACGAATTCCCTGAGCTATGCGACAAGAACTGGGCTCAGTGACTTCGCGTTTGCTGTGAACATATTTTCACACGTGAATGAGCTGAATGTGAAACTGCAGGGGAAAGATCAGTTTGTTCACGACATGTACAAACATGTGAAAGCCTTCAAATCCAAGCTCACTTTGTTCTCCAGACAAATTGCGAACAAATATTTCGCTCATTTCCCCCCCACACTTGCCATGCAGGAAGAGGCACCGCGAAACATAAAAAAATACAGCAAATCACTTGAGCACCTGCACAGAGAATTCTGCCCGTAGGTTCTCTGATTTCGAAAACATTGAACAGTCACTTCAGCTGGTGTCCTGTCCCCTGTCACAAGATCTGAAACAGCACCACGGGAGCTGCAGTTGGAACTGATGGATCTTCAGTCTGACTTCAGTCCTAAAGGAGAAGTTCAACTCTGTTAAACTGAATTACTTTTATGCTTCACTTAACAGAGCCGCGTTTCCAAACCTCCAGAGGACTGCACGGAAGATGTTGACTTTGTTTTGGCTCGACTTATGTGTGTGTGAGCAGACATTCCAGCGTCACGAACGCCAACAAAGCCCGTCACAGATGAAAGTTATCGGATCAGCACCTCAGATCTATCCTGAGAATTGCCACAACCAAAATAACTCCAGACTTGGATGCGCTTGCAAAAATGGGAGATCAACAACACTGTTCCCACTGAAACTGAAAGTGATGATGTGTTGCTGCAGCGAGGTTGGAGCCAAATCTCCGACACACAGCCTGCCTGGCTGCTCTAACCTGTTAATGTAGACAATAAAGAAGTTCAAGTGAGGTCATTGGTTTGGGCGCAGGCCTCAGATGTTTTCACGATGTTTGATCAGTCACGTGACGACGTGTTCTTGTATTGTTCATGTTCGTGCAATTTGTTAAATTTCCTTGCAAATAAATGCTTTGCTACCTGTTAAAGGCCAAATCCTTTCATGTAATGATTTTTACATGTCATTTATATTAGTTCACACAAACATTCCATCCATCTGTTCCTGGCCCGGCCTCTCTGTCAAATTTTAGAACCCATTGTGGCCTGCAAATAAAAAAAAAATGCCCACCCCTGCTCTAGACCATGAGTCTCAAGATCCAGAGTCCCTGAGTCTCCAAACCCTGAGTCTCTAGTCCCTGAGTCTCTGAGTCTCTAATCTCTGTGTCTCTAGACCCTGAGTCTCTAGACCATGAGTCTCTGAGTCTCTAGACCATGAGTCTCTGAGTCTCTAGATCCTGAGGTTCCGAGTTTCTAGACCCTGAGTCTCTGAGTCTCTCGACCATGAGTCTCTGAGTCTCTAGATTGTGAGTCTCTGAGTCTCTAGACCCTGAGGTTCTGAGTCTCTAATCTCTGAGTCTCTAGACCCTGAGGTTCTGTGTCTCTAGACCCTGAGTCTCCAAACCCTGAGTCTCTGAGTCTCTAGACCCTGAGTCTCTGAGTCTGTAGACCCTGAGTCTCTAAGTCTCTCAACCCTGTGTCTCTGAGTCTCTAGACCCATGAGTCTCTGAGTCTCTAGACCCTGAGTATCTGAGTCTCTAGACCCTGAGTCTCTGAGTCTCTAGACCTTGAGTCTCTAGACCCTGAGTCTCTGAGTCTCTAGACCCTGAGTCTCTAGACCCTGAGTCTCTGAGTCTCTAGACCCTGAGTCTCTGAGTCTCTAGACCCTGAGTCTCTGAGTCTCTAGACCCATGAGTCTCTAGACCCTGAGTTTCTGAGTCTCTAGACCCTGAGTCTCTGAGTCTCTAGACCCTGAGTCTCTGAGTCTCTAGACCCTGAGTCTCTAGACCCTGAGTCTCTGAGTCTCTAGACCTTGAGTCTCTAGACCATGAGTCTCTGAGTCTCTAGACCCTGAGTCTCTAGACCCTGAGTCTCTGAGTCTCTAGACCCTGAGTCTCTGAGTCTCTAGACCCATGAGTCTCCAAACCCCGAGTCTCTGAGTCTCCAAACCCCGAGTCTCTGAGTCTCCAAACCCCGAGTCTCTGAGTCTCTAGTCCCATGAGTCTCTGAGTCTCTAGACCCCGAGTCTCTGAGTCTCTGGACCCCGTAAACCCTTCCTCTCTCCACACCGCTCCACCCTAACCCACCGTCGCTCCCCCTGTGTGCGCGCACGTCCAAGGCGCTAAGTTCCACGACGCGCTGTCTGCTCGCGACTGCTACGACCTGGGCCGCGTCGCCTACACGGAGGGCGACTACCGGCACACGCAGCTGTGGATGCGGCAGGCTCTGCGCATGGTGCGCGGCACCACGTGGCAGAAGCGTCGGGGGGCAGCGGGAGGAGGGGAGAGACGTGGGGCGGAGGACGGAGAAGTGGAGGAGACACCGGGGGGAGGATCAGCGGTGGAGGGGGTGGAGTGGCTGACGGGATCGGCGGCGGTGGACGAGGTGGACGTCTTGGACCACCTGAGCTTCGTGGCGTTTCAGCAGGGGGAGACGGAGGAAGCGTACGCGCTCACGAAGCAGCTGCTCGCGCTGGGTACGAGTGATGGGGGGGCGGGGAGAGAGAGAAGCACAGAGGGAGGGATGTTGTGTGTGTGTGTGTGTGCATGTGTGCGTGGCAGCTGTACCGTTACCGCCTTGACCTCTGTGGGTTACACGAGATCCGGTGGGCTAGTTCTGGAATGTGTCTGTGTAGAGGGGAGAGGCTGCCGTTTGTTTGTCGGGAGGTGGACCGGTACCGCCTGGACCTCTGTCGCTTTCACGAGGTCCGGTGGGCTAGTTCTGGAATGTGTCTGTGTAGAGGAGAGGCTGCCGCTCATCTTTCGGGAGCTGGACCTTGTACTGCTTGGATCCTCTGAGTCTTACACGAGGTCCGGTGGGCTCGTTCATGGAATGCGTCTGTTTAGAGGAAACACTGCATTTTCTTAGCCCTTTCGGTAAAGTCACGTTGAAGGGAAACAATAAAATAATAAAATATATATAAAACAAGAAAATAATAATGTATTTTATTGTTTCCCTTCATCTCATAATAGTATATTTTATTATTTTATTGTTTCCCTTCAACGTGACTTTACCGAAAGAGCTAAAAATATGAATTACTGCAGTCACGAAAGCTTTAAATCTAAATTTACACTGCATTTTGTTTGTCGGTATGTGGACCAATACCGCCGAGACCTTTGGGGCTTGCATGAAGTGCAGTGGGCTAGTTCTGGAATGCGTCTCTGTAGAGGAGAGGCTGCCATTTGTTTGTTGGGAGGTGGACCGGCACCGCCAAGACCTTTGTGGCTTACACGACGTCCGGTGGGCTAGTTCTAGAACGTGTCTGTCTGGAGGAGAGGCTGTCACATCTCTCACCCCCATCTCTCCTCATCTCACTCTCCCCATCTCTCTCCCTGTATCCATCACCCCATCTCCCTCCTCACCACTACCACCACCGCCTCCTCCCAGACCCATCTCACTCTCTCTCCCCATCTCTCCTCCCATCTCTCACACCCCATCTCCCCATATCCATCTCCCCATTTCTCTCTCCGCATTTCTGCCCCCATCGCCCCCCCCCCCATCTCTCTCTCCCCATGCCGCCATCCCCATCTCCCCTCGCCCCCATCTCTCTCCCCACCACCACCGCCTCCTCCCAGACCCATCTCACTCTCTCTCCCCATCTCCCCATCTCTCACACACCATCTCCCCATATCTTTCTCCACATTTATCCCCCCATCTCCCCCCCCCATCTCTCTCCCCATGCCCCCCCATCCCAATCTCCATCTCCCCATCATCTCCCCATCATCTCCCCATCATCTCCCCATCATCTCCCCATCATCTCCCCATCATCTCCCCAGACCCGTCTCACGAGCGTGCACAGGGGAACCTGGACTACTTCTCCCGGGCGCTGTCCTCCAAGCGCAAGGGAGACGACGAATCTCAGCTGCTCACCACCGGCATCCGCAGTGACTCCTCCTCGTCGTCGTCGTCGCCGTCCTCGAAGAGGAGGAGGAAGGACACGATGGGGGGAGAGAGACTCGGGGATGACGAGGAGGAGGAGGAGGAGGCGGTGGAGGAGGAAGTGGAGGAGGAGGTGGACGATGGAAGAAGTGCAAGCTACATGAAGCTGTGTCGGGGAGAGGGGATCAAGATGGTGAGTCGGGGGGTTGACGACGGACGACCTCACGGCTCCCTCCACGTCCCTCTGTCTCTCTGTCTCTCTGTGTCTCTGTGTCTCTGTCTCCCTGTCTTTCTGTCTCTCTCTCCCTGTGTCTCTGTCTCTCTGTCTTTCTGTCTCTCTGTCTCCCTGTCTCTCTGTCTCTGTCTCCGTGTCTCTCCCTGTCCCTCTGTCTCTCTCTCCCTGTCTCTGTCTCTCTCCCTGTCTCTATCTCTCTCTCTCCCTGTCTCTCTCCCTGTCTCTCTCTCCCTTCTCTCTCTCCCTGTCTCTCTCTCCCTGTCTCTCTCTCCCTGTCTCTCTCTCCCTGTCTCTCTCTCCCTGTCTCTGTGTCTCTCTCTCCCTGTCTCTCTCCCTGTCTCTCCCTTCTCTCTCTCCCTGTCTCTCTCCCTGTCTCCTTGTCTCTCTCTCCCTGTCTCTCTCCCTGTCTCTCTGTCTCTCTCTCCCTGTCTCTGTCTCTCTCCCTGTCTCTCTCCCTGTCTCTCTCCCTTCTCTTTCTCCCTGTCTCTCTCTGTCTTTCTCTCCCTGTCTCTGTGTCTCTCTCTCCCTGTCTCTGTGTCTCTCTCTCCCTGTCTCTCTCCCTGTCTCTCTGTCTCTCTCTCCCTGTCTCTCTCCCTGTCTCTGTCTCTCTCCGTGTCCGTCTAGACGGCTTTACGTCGCGCCCGGCTGGGTTGCCGACTGTGGGATGTCAACAGGAGCCCGAGTCTCTCTCTGTCTCTGTCTCCGTGTCTCTCTCTGTCTGTCTCTGTCTCCGTGTCTCTCTCTCTCTGTCTCTCTGTCTCTCTGTCTCTCTCCCTGTCTCTCTCTCCCTGTCTCTCTCCCTGTCTCCCTGTCTCTCTCTCCCTGTCTCCCTGTCTCTCTCTCCCTGTCTCTCTCTGTCTCTCTCTGTCTCCTTGTCTCTCCCTGTCTCTCTCTCTCCCTGTCTGTCTCTCCCCCTGTCTCCCTGTCTCTCTCTCCCTGTCTCCCTCCCTGTCTCTCTGTCTCTCTGTCCCTGTCTCTCTGTCTCTCTCTCCTTGTCTCTCTCCCTGTCTCTCTCCCTGTCTCTCTGTCTCCCTGTCTCTCTCTCCCTGTCTCCCTCCCTGTCTCTCTGTCTCTCTGTCCCTGTCTCTCTGTCTCTCTCTCCTTGTCTCTCCCTGTATCTCTCCCTGTCTCTCTCTCCCCGTCTCCCTCTCCCTGTCTCCCTGTTTCTCTGTCTCTCTGTCTCTCTCTCCCCGTCTCCCTCTCCCTGTCTCTCTCTCTGTCTCTCTATCTCTCTCTCTGTCTCCTTGTCTCTCCCTGTCTCTCTCTCCCTGTCTCTCCCTGTCTCTCTCTCTGTCTCCTTGTCTCTCTCCCTGTTTCTCTGTATCTCTCCCTGTCTCTCTCTCTCCCTGTCTCGCTCCCTGTCTCTCTCTCCCTTCTCTCTCTCCCTGTCTCTGTCTCTCTCTCTCTGTCTCCTTGTCTCTCTCCCTGTCTCTCTGTCGCCTTGTCTCTCTCTCTCCCTGTTTCTCTCTCTCTCTGTCTCCTTATCTCGCTCTCTTCCTGTCTCTCTCTCTCTGTCTCCTTGTCTCTCTCTCTCCCTGTTTCTCTCTCTCTGTCTCCTTATCTCTCTCTCTCCCTGTCTCTCTCTTTCTGTCTCCTTGTCTCTCTCTCTCCCTGTTTCTCTGTCTCTGTGTCCGTCCAGACGTCTAGACGTCGCGCCCGGCTGAGTTGCCGGCTGTGGGACGGCCGGAGGAATCCGCGTCTGCTGCTGCGGCCGCTGCACCTGGAGGAGGAGTGGGACCGGCCACTCATCGTCCGCTACCACGGAGTGGTGTCAGACCAGGAGATCCACCTCATCAAGGAACTTGCAAAGCCACGGGTGGGAGAGGGGGAGGGGAGAGAGGGGGCAGAGGGGGAGGGTGAGAAAGAGGGGGAGAGGGGGGAGGGAGAGAGGGTGAAGGAGAGAGGGGGGAGGGAGAGAGGGGGGAGGGAGAGAGGGGGGAGGGAGAGGGGGGAGAGGGGGGGGGGAGAGGGGGGGGAGGGAGAGAGGGGGAGGGAGAGAGGGGGGAGAGGGGGTCTCTGGCCATGTCTCTCCCCGTCTCTCCACGTGTCTCCCCATGTCTCTCTCTCTGTGTGTCTCTCTGTGTCTCTGGGTGTCTCTGTCCGTGTGTCTTCATCTTATGTCTCCGTGTGTCTCTCCGTGTGCAGCTGCAGAGAGCCACAGTCCATGACCCTCAGACAGGAGAACTGACGGTCGCTCACTACAGAGTCTCCAAGAGGTGAACACACACAGACACACTCACACAAGACACACAGAGACACACACAACAACAACAACAACCGCCAATCGCCACTAAGTGGCGGTGACGTCACCACGACGCTTGTGCCAGGCCATGTGCACCTTGAGGCCACGTGAAGTGTCGAACGCCCGCGGGCAGGAGGTCACGGGGCAGACCCAGGTGCCACGGGTCGACTGACTGAGATGACTGGCTGATGCACCACCTGTGCCCCCTACTGTGCCAACCTGCTGTGCTTTAGCCACCCGGCGCTCCACTCGTTGTTCTGAGTGTCGCTCCTCCGCCCTCCGTTGTTGTTGGAGGGCGACTGCCTCCATCTGCCCAGTAGCGTCCTTCACGAGCCTCCTCCACAGAGGCCGATCTTGACACCGCTGGTACCAGTCATCGGCAAGTCCACTCAGCTCCACGTCCTCCTGTACCACATCACTCCATCTCTTCTCTAGCCCGTGCCGCGCCCGCTTAGCCCCCTCAATCCGGCCGAACAAAAGCTGTTTCGGCATGCGGTGGCTGGGCATGCGGGCTACATGACCCAGCCATCGCAGCCTTGCCTGCCGGAGGAGCTCACCGATGGGACCCTGCCCAGATCTTTCAAGGATTTGTGAGCTCCTCACACAATCCAGTCTGGTTATACCCAGGATGGATCGTAGGCAGGCCAGCCTAAATGTTCCTAACCGGCGAAGATGTTCCATTAGGGGGGTCCACGTTTCGCAAGCGTAGAGAAGGGAGGGAATGACCGTGGCCGAGAAGACCTGAAGCTTAGTGCGGAGCGACAGACCAGGTAGCTTCCACACAGCGTTACGCAACCGATGAAAAGATATTGCCGCTCGACTGATTCGGAGTGAGACCTCTGCTGTTAAACTGGATCCGGTCATAAGCACACTGCCCAGGTATGGGAAACTCTCCACTCTCTCCACAACTGCCCCATCACCGATCGGGAGTTGTGGGGGTGGAATGTCCGATGGCACAAAATACCCAGGCAGGTGCTTAGTTTTGGTGGGGCTGATGGTAAGGCCCCACCTCTTAGTGGCATGCTCCAGTCTCAGCAGCAGCGTCTCCAACTCCTCCTCTGACTGAGCAGCTATTACCAAATCATCAGCATACATAACGTGGTTGAGCAATAGGGAGCCATCCCTTGACCGCACCCGGGCATCGATCAGCCTCCCATTATATCTGTACCATATGGAGATTCCCCCGGTACAGCTATTGAAGGCTTCACGAACTACGTGGTCAAAATAGATGTTAAATAATGTGGGAGCCAGAGGACATCCCTGTCGCACCCCAAGGTGTACAGGGAATGGCTCTGACTCCCGGCCACGTAGTTTTACCCGGGCCCGCTCACCATCATGAAGGTCCTTAATTATCGTGAGCAGAGGGTCAGGTACTCCAAAAGCACGAAGAACGACCCAGAGCCCAGGCCTACTGATGGTATCATAGGCCTTGACCAGGTCAATAAAGCAGAGATGTAGGTCTTGTTGGAATTCCCTACACCTCTGCTGTAGCAGACGGACAGAAAACATGGCATCTGTGCAGGACCGCCCCATCCTGAAACCGCATTGGGGCTCCGCAAGCCTCTCCTCAGCGTGCCTGGCAAGGCGATGCTGAATAATCCTTGCCAGGACCTTTCCCGGCACACTGAGGAGTGAGATGCCCCTGTAGTTGTTACAGTCTGTGCGGACACACACACAGACACACACACAGACACACACAGACACACAACAACAACAACAACCGCCATTCGCCACTAAGTGGCGGTGACGTCACCACGACGCTTGTGCCAGGCTATGTGCACCCTGAGGCCACGTGAAGTGTCGAACGCCCGCTGGCAGGAGGTCACGGGGCAGACCCAGGTGCCACGGGTCGACTGACTGAGATGACTGGCTGATGCACCACCTGTGCCCCCTACTGTGCCAACCTGCTGTGCTTTAGCCACCCGGCGCTCCGCTCGCTGTTGTGAGCGTCGCTCCTCCGCCCTCCGTTGTTGTTGGAGGGCGACTGCCTCCAACTGCCCAGTAGCATCCTTCACGAGCCTCCTCCACAGAGGCCGATCTTGACACCGCTGGTACCAGTCATCGGCAAGTCCACTCAGCTCCACGTCCTCCTGTACCACATCACTCCATCTCTTCTCTAGCCCGTGCCGCGCCCGCTTAGCCCCCTCAATCCGGCCAAACAAAAGCTGTTTCGGCATGCGGTGGCTGGGCATGCGGGCTACATGACCCAGCCATCGCAGCCTTGCCTGCCGGAGGAGCTCACCGATGGGACCCTGCCCAGATCTTTCAAGGATTTGTGAGCTCCTCACACAATCCAGTCTGGTTAAACCCAGGATGGATCGTAGGCAGGCCAGCCTAAATGTTTCTAACCGGCGAAGATGTTCCATTAGGGGGGTCCACGTTTCGCAAGCGTAGAGAAGGGAGGGAATGACCGTGGCCGAGAAGACCTGAAGCTTAGTGCGGAGCGACAGACCAGGTAGCTTCCACACAGCGTTACGCAACCGATGAAAAGATATTGCCGCTCGACTGATTCGGAGTGAGACCTCTGCTGTTAAACTGGAGCCAGTCATAAGCACACTGCCCAGGTATGGGAAACGCTCCACTCTCTCCACAACTGCCCCATCACCGATTGGGAGTTGTGGGGGTGGAGCGTCCGATGGTACAAAATACCCAGGCAGGTGCTTAGTTTTGGTGGGGCTGATGGTAAGGCCCCACCTCTTAGTGGCACGCTCCAGTCTCAGCAGCAGCGTCTCCAACTCCTCCTCTGACTGAGCAGCTATTACCAAATCATCAGCATACATGACGTGGTTGAGCAATAGGGAGCCATCCCTTGACCGCACCCGGGCATCGATTAGCCTCCCATTATATCTGTACCATATGGAGATTCCCCCGGTACAGCTATTGAAGGCTTCACGAACTACGTGGTCAAAATAGATGTTAAATAATGTGGGAGCCAGAGGACATCCCTGTCGCACCCCAAGGTGTACAGGGAATTGCTCTGACTCCCGGCCACGTAGTTTTACCCGGGCCCGCTCACCATCATGAAGGTCCTTAATGATCGTGAGCAGAGGGTCAGGTACTCCAAAAGCACGAAGAACGACCCAGAGCCCAGGCCTACTGATGGTATCATAGGCCTTGACCAGGTCAATAAAGCAGAGATGTAGGTCTTGTGGGAATTCCCTACACCTCTGCTGTAGCAGACGGACAGAAAATATGGCATCCATGCAGGACCGCCCTTTCCTGAAACCGCATTGGGGCTCCGCAAGCCTCTCCTCAGCGTGCCTGGCAAGGCGATGCTGAATAATCCTTGCCAGGACCTTTCCCGGCACACTGAGGAGTGAGATGCCCCTGTAGTTGTTACAGTCTGTGCGGTCCCCCTTCTTAAAAAGGGGGACCACCAGGGCATCCTTCCAATCCTGCGGAACCCGTCCAGTGGTCCAGACTGTTGTTATGATGTCATATAGGGCAGTCTGTGCACAAACGCCACCCTCCCTCAGCATTTCGCTTGGGAGATCATCTCTGCCCGCTGCCTTTCCTGGTCTCAGACTCCGGATCGCCTTCAATACTTCCTCAGCAGATGGCACCTCAGCCAGCCACTCACAGGGGGTGACTTCATCCAATATTTGAGGCACCGCAGCCTCAGCAGGGTCATCCTCACTTTGTGCCACGATGTTTTCCTGGCTGAGGGATTTTCCCTCCCCCAGGACCTCACAGAAATGCTCAGCAAATCTGCGAACCTGTTCCTGGGGGTCGGAAATTGGATCACCGTTTTTTCCCCTAATGATGGTAATAGGTGTGGCGCTGCAGGTTACTTTTTTGATGGAGTTAAATAGAGATTTGTGATCACGGGCCACTGAGGCAGACTCCATCTCCTCAGCAACCTGCGACCACCACCCATCCTTGCAGCGCCTCATGGCTCTCCGAACCTCCGAGCGAAGGCTGCGGTAAGCCTCCTCATTCTCTGACGTGGGATTCTGTAGCCGATGACAGTGGGCCTGTCGCTTTTTCTCAACCATCCTGAACAACTCCTCTGTCAGCCAGGGTGTCTGGGGAGGTCTGGACCGCGTACCCAAAGCAGCCATAGCAGCTGCATGAGTCACAGTCCTAAACCTCACCCATTTACCCTCGACATCAGGAGGAGTCGGGGACGATGCCAATCCCAGCTGCAAGCGATGATGAAATTCTCGCTTGCAACTTTCATCAGATAACTGAGACCAGGCCACTTTAGGTTGGAATGGGGTCCTGGGTGTACACCCACCACCGGAGTGGAAGAATGGCAGGCGCATCTTACAGATGACTAGTCGATGGTCAGAGGGCAGATCAGCTCCACGGTAGGTCCTGGTGTCAAGGACATGGGCTCGCATTCGCTGGTCCATCACTATGTAGTCCAGCAGATGTTCTTGCTTGGACCCGGCATGCATCCATGATGTTGTGTGGATGCGTCGATGCCGGAACAGCGTGTTGGTAATTACAAGCCCATGGGCTGCACAAAAATCTAGCAGCCTCCTACCATTGTTATTGAGCTGATCTGGCCCATGCCCTCCAATCACTCCAGACCAGGTGCCAGTATCATGACCAACTCGGGCATTGAAGTCACCCAACATGATGACTCTATCCCGAGGGGCCACTTTAGCCAGCACCTGTGACAGGAGGTCATAGAAGGCATCTGACTCATCGGCTTTGCCTGCATCCCTCCACGGATGTTCATCTTCGGTGGGGGCATAAGTAACCACGACCACCATTCCTCGCCTCCGGTTGATGGGAAGGCGAGCCCAAAGTAGCCTGGGGCTTACAGCTTCCCACACCTCACCGCCACGCCCCCTTCATTCTTTTGTTCAAAAGAAGACCCACACCCTGTTGTTTGGCAGTCTGCTGCCCCGAGTAGAGGACTGTCCACCCCTCATGGTGGCAGGAGCCAGAGCCGGTCCACCGGACCTCCTGAATGCCGCATAGATCCAGGCGGTACCGGTCCAGCTCCCGACAGAGGAGTGGCAGCCTCTCCTCTGCAGTGAGCGTTCGAACATTCCACGTGGCCACCCGTAGTGGCTTTTCGTTGTTTCTGGAGTAGCCCCGAGGGTAGGTATTCAATCTCCTGGCTCCGCCAATTGGGGTTTGGCCAGGAGACGTCATAGACGCCTGGCCCCCCGGGGCCTCCGGCACAAGCTTAGTTGTTACATATTTCAGTTTAATTCGTGGTTTCGTGGTAATTAATTGAAGGTGAAGGGGTTACCAGCCCCTCGCACCCGTCCAGAGCCCCCGTTTAGCCCCTGTGGTGGACACATATGCCATGAGGGGAGGAGCCAATCAAAATTGGATCTCCCCCCACAGCGCTGTCCACGACAGAGTTGCCCGTCCGGCACCGCGAGGAGGTAGGGGGTTGTTTTGCCGGACACACACACACACACACAGACAGACACTTACACACGAGGAGATGGGTCTCTCACTGAATCTCTCTCCTCCCTGTGTATCCTTCTTCCTATCTCCATCTCTTTCCCCCTCTTTCTCCCCACCTCTCTCGCCCCCTCTCTGTTTTTCTCTCTCTCTCCCCCTTCTCTCTTCCCCCTCTCTCTATCTCACCCCACCTCTCTCTCCCCCTCCCTCTCTCCGTCTTCCCGGGGCAGTGCTTGGCTGAGATCTGAGCATCACCCCCTGGTGCAGAGACTCAACGAGAGAGTGGCCGATATCACTGGGCTCAACATGGACACTGCAGAGGAGCTACAGGTGAGTGAGTGGGTGAGTGAGTGAGTGGGTAAGTGGTTGAATGGGTGCATGGGTTAGTGGGTGGGTGAGTGAGTGAGTAGGTGAGTGAGGGGGTGAGTAGGTGAGAGAGTGAGTAGGCGAGTGAGTGGGTGGGTGGGCGCGTGGGTGGGCGCGTGGGTGGGCGCGTGGGTGGGTGAGCAGATAAACGGTGGTTGTGATGCTGATGTTGATGTTGCAGGTGGCTAACTATGGCATGGGTGGACAATATGATCCTCATTTCGACTTTGGTCGGGTAAGAATTTTACCCACTCACCCACCCACACACTCATCCACCCACCCACTGGTTCACCCACTTACTCATCCACCCACCCACCCACTCACCCCCCCACTCACCGCCCCACTCACCCACTCCACGTGTACACACGCACACAAACTCTCTCTTTGTCCCGATATATCTGGCGTTGAGTGGAGTATAACGATAACCTGTGTAATGTCTCTCTCTCCCCCTCTATCTCTGCCTCTCCCTCTCTCCCTTATCTCTCTTCATCTCTCTCTCCCCCTCTATCTCTGCCTCTCTTCCCCTCTATTCCTCTTTCTCTCTCTCTCTCTCTGCGAGTTCAGAAGGAGGAGCCGGATGCCTTTAAGGAACTCGGGACGGGGAACCGCATGGCAACGTTTCTTATCTATGTGAGAGACGCAAAGAGACACATAGAGACACATAGAGACGCATATACAGGTAGTCTTTGTATCTCACTCTCCCCATGTCTCTCTCTAGATGAGCGATGTGCCAGCCGGAGGAGCCACTGTGTTTCCAGATGTTGGAGCGGCAATTTGGCCAATAAAGGTTTGTGTGGGTTCACGATGGCCGTGTGGGTGGGGTTCACGGCGGCCGTGTGGGTGGGGTTCACGATGGCCGTGTGGGTGGGGTTCACGGTGGCCGTGTGGGTGGGGTTCACGGTGGCCGTGTGGGTGGGGTTCACGGTGGCCGTGTGGGTGGGGTTAAAGGTGGCCGTGTGGGTGGGGTTAAAGGTGGCCGTGTGGGTGGGGTTAAAGGTTGCCGTGTGGGTGGGGTTCAAGGTGGCCGTGTGGGTGGGGTTCAAGACGGCCGTGTGGGTGGGGTTCACGGTGGCTGTGTGGGTGGGGTTCACGGTGGCGGTGTGGGTGGGGTTCACGGTGGCTGTGTGGGTGGGGTTCACGGTGGCTGTGTGGGTTGGGTTCACGGTGGCAGTGTGGGTGGGGTTCAAGGTGGCCGTGTGGGTGGGGTTCAAGGTGGCTGTGTGGATGGGGTTCAAGGTGGCTGTGTGGGTGGGGTTCACGGTGGCTGTGTGGGTGGGGTTCACGGTGGCCGTGTGGGTGGGGTTCACGATGGCCGTGTGGGTGGGGTTCACGGTGGCCGTGTGGGTGGGGTTCACGATGGCCGTGTGGGTGGGGTTCACGGTGGCCGTGTGGGTGGGGTTCACGGTGGCCGTATCTTATTCTCCCTCCCTGTGTGTCTCTCTCCCCGCGTCTCTCTCCTCGTGTTTGTGTGCAGGGCACGGCCGTTTTCTGGTTTAATTTGCTTGCGAGCGGAGAGGGCGACTACAGCACGAGACACGCGGCCTGCCCCGTCCTAGTGGGGAGCAAGTGGGGTGAGAGACATGGGGAGAGAGACACGGAGAGAGAGAGACACGGGGAGAGAGAGACACGGGGAGAGAGAGACACGGGGAGAGAGAGACACGGGGAGAGAGAGACACGGAGAGAGAGACACGGAGAGAGACACGGGGAGAGAGAGACACGGCGGGAGAGAGACACGGGGAGAGAGAGACACGGGGGGGAGAGAGACACGGGGAGAGAGAGAGAGACACGGGGAGAGAGAGAGAGGCACGGGGAGAGAGAGAGAGACACGGGGCGAGAGAGACACGGGGAGAGAGAGACACGGGGAGAGAGAGACACGGGGCGAGAGAGACACAGGGAGAGAGAGAGACACGGGGAGAGAGAGACACGGGGAGAGGGAGACACGGGGAGAGGGAGACACGGGGAGAGAGAGAGAGACACGGGGAGAGAGAGAGAGACACGGGGAGAGAGAGAGAGACACGGGGAGAGAGAGAGAGACACGGGGAGAGAAAGAGAGACACTGGGAGAGAGAGACACAGAGAGAGAGACACACAGGGAGAGAGAGACATGGGGAGAGAGAGAGACACGGGGAGAGAGAGAGACACGGGGAGAGAGACACGGGGAGAGAGAGACACGGGGAGAGAGAGACACGGGGAAAGAGAGACAAGGGGAGAGAGAGACACGGAGAGAGACACAGGGAGAGACACGGGGAGAGAGAGAGACACGGGGAGAGAGAGAGAGACACGGGGAGAGAGAGAGAGACACGGGGAAAGAGAGAGAGACAAGGGGAGAGAGAGACACGGGGAGAGAGACACAGGGAGAGACACGGGGAGAGAGAGAGACACGGGGAGAGAGAGAGAGAGACACGGGGAGAGAGAGAGAGAGACACGGGGAGAGAGAGAGACACGGGGAGAGAGAGAGACACGGGGAGAGAGACACGGGGAGAGAGAGACACAGGGAGAGAGAGAGACACGGGGAGAGAGACACGGGGAGAGAGAGAGACACAGGGAGAGAGAGAGACACGGGGAGAGAGAGAGACACGGAGAGAGAGACACAGGGAGAGACACGGGGGGGAGAGAGAGAGACATGGGGAGAGAGAGACACGGGGAGAGAGAGAGACACGGGGAGAGAGAGAGAGACACGAGGAGAGAGAGAGACACGGGGAGAGAGAGAGACACGGGGAGAGAGAGAGACATGGGGGGAGAGAGAGAGACACGGGGAGAGACCCGGAGAGAGAGAGACACGGGGAGACATGGGGAGAGAGAGACACGGGGAGACATGGGGAGAGAGAGACACACGGGGAGAGAGAGACACGGGGAGACATGGGGAGAGACACACGGGGAGAGAGACACACGGGGAGAGAGAGACACACGGGGGGAGAGAGACACGGGGAGAGAGAGACACGGGGAGAGAGAGACACGGGGAGAGAGAGACACGGGGAGAGACACGGGAAGAGAGAGACACACGGGGAGAGAGAGACACGGGGAGAGAGACACAGGGAGAGAGAGAGACACGGGGAGAGAGAGAGACACGGGGAGAGAGACTTGCTATGTGTATTGTGGTGTATCATCTCCGTGCGTCTCTCTCTCCGCAGTCTCTAACAAGTGGATTCATGAACGAGGCCAGGAGTTTAAACGGCCATGCTCACTCAACCAGACAGAGTGACCGCTCACTCACCCACTCAGTCACTCGCTCACTCAGTCACTCACCCACTCAGTCACTCGCTCACTCAGTCACTCACCCACTCAGTCACTCACCCACTCAGTCACTCACCCACTCAGTCACTCACCCACTCAGTCACTCACCCACTCAGTCACTCACCCACTCCGTCACTCACCCACTCAGTCACTCACCCACTCAGTCACTCACCCACTCAGTCACTCACCCACTCAGTCACTCACCCACCCACTCACCCGCTCACCCACTCACTCAGTCACCCACTCACCAATACCTGCCATTCGCCACTAAGTGGCGGTGACGTCACCACGGAACTTGTGCCAAGCTATGTCCATGTTAAGGCCACGTGAAGTGTGGAACCCCCACTTGCAGGAGGTCACAGGGCAGACCCAGGTGCCACGGGTCGACTGACAGATGAGTGGCTGAGGCACCACATGTGCCCCCGACTGTGCCAACTTGATGTGCTTTAGCCACCCGGCGCTCCGCTCGTTGTTGTGAGCTTTGCTGCTCCGCCCTCCGTTGTTGTTGGAGGGCGACTACCTCCAACTGCCCAGTAGCGTCCTTCACGAGCCTCCTCCACAGAGGCCGATCTTGACACCGCTGGTACCAGTCATCGGCAAGTCCACTCAGCTCCACATCCTCCTGTACCACTCCATCTCTTCTCTAGCCCGTGCTGTGCCCGTTTAGCCCCCTTAATCCGGCCGAACAAAAGCTGTTTCGGAATGCGGTGGCTGGGCATGCGGGCTACATGACCCAGCCAACGCAGACTTGCCTGCCGGAGGAGCTCACCAATGGGACTTTATCCAGATCTTTCAAGGATTTGTGAGCTCCTCACACAATCCAGTCTGGTTAAACCCAGGATGTATCGTAGGCAGGCCAGCCTAAATGTTTCTAAACAGCGAAAATGTTCCATTCAGGGGGTCCACGTTTCACAAGCGTAGAGAAGGGAGGGAATGACCATGGCCGAGAAGACCTGAAGCTTCGTGTGTAGCGACAGACCAGGTAGCTTCCACACAGTGTTACGCAACTGATTAATAGATATTGCCGCTCGACTGATTCGGAGTAAGACCTCTGCTGTTAAACTGGAGCCGGTCATAAGCACACTGCCCAGGTATGGGAAACTCTCCACTATCTGCACAACTGCCCCATCACCGATTGGGAGTTGTGGGGGTGGAGTGTCCGATGGTACAAAATCCATAGGCAGGTGCTTAGTTTTGGTGGGGCTGATGGTAAGGCCCCACCCTCTCAGTGGCAGGTTCAGCAGCAGCGCCTCCAACTCCCCCTCTGAGACAGCATCAATCACCAGATCATCGGCATACATAACGTGGTTGACCAATAGGGAGTCATCACTGGACCGCACCCGGGCATCGATCAGCCTCCCACTGTATCTGTACTAGATGGAAATTCCTCCGGTACAGCCATCGAAGGCTTCACGAACTACGTGCTCAAAATAGATGTTAAATAATGTTGGAGCCAGAGGACATCCGTTACACCCAAAGTTGAACAGGGAATGGATCCGACTCCTGGCCACATAGTTTTACCCGGGCCCGCTCACCATCATATGAAGGTCCTTAATGATCGTGAGCAGAGGGTCAGGGACTCCAAAAGCACGAAGAACAACCCAGAGCCCAGGCCTACTGATGGTATCATAGGCCTTGACCAGGTCGAGAAAGCAGAGATGTAGGTCTTGTTGCAATTCCCTACACCTCTGCTGTAGCAGACGGACAGAAAATGGCATCTGTAGGGGACTGCCCTTTCCTGAAACCGCATTGGGGCTCCGCAAGCCTCTCCTCAGCGTGCCTGGCGAGGCGATGTTGAATAATCCTTGCCAGGACCTTTCCCGGCACACTGAGGAGTGAGATGCCCCTGTAGTTGTTACAGTCTGTGCGGTCCACCTTCTTAGAGGGGGACCACCAGGGCATACTTCCAATCCTGCGGATCCCGTCCAGCGGTCCAGACTGTTGTTATGATGTCATATAGGGCAGTCTGTGCACAAACGCTGCCCTCCCTCAGCATTTCGCTTGGGAGATCATCTCTGCCCCGCTGCCTTTCCTGGTCTCAGACTCCGGATCGCCTTCAGTACTTCCTCAACAGATGGCACCTCAGCCAGCCACTCACAGGGGGTGACTTCTTCTTCCAATATTTGAGGCACCGCAGCCTCAGCAGGGTCATCCCCACTTTGTGCCACATTGTTTTCCTGGCTGAGGGATTTCCCCCCCCCCCCCCCCCCCCCCCCCCACAGAACCTCACAGAAATGCTCAGCAAATCTGCAAACCTGTTCCTTTGGGTCGCAGATTGGATCACCATTCTTTCCGCTAATGATGATAATAGGTGTGGCGCTGCAAGTTACTTTTTGATGGAATTGGAGCGATTTGTGATCACGGGCCACTGAGGCAGATTCCATCTCCTCAGCAACCTGCGACCACCACCCATTTTAGCAGCGCCTCACGGCTCTCCGAACCTCCCAGCGAAGGCTGTGGTAAGCCGCCTCATTCTCTGATGCTGTAGATGAGAATGGGCCTGTTGCTTTTTCTCAGCCAGCCTGAGCATGTCCTCTTGTCAGCCAGGGTCTCTGGGGAGGTCTGGACCGCGTACCCAAGCAGCCATTGCAGCTGCATGAGCCACAGTCCTAAACCTCGCCCATTTCCCCTCGACATCATGAGTAGGAGATTATGCCAACCCCAGCCGCAGCCGATGAAATTCTCGCTTGCAACTTTCATCAACTGAGACCAGAGGCCACTATGGGTTTGAATGGGGTCCTGGGTGTACACCCACCACCGGAGAGGAAGAATGGCAGGCGCATCTTGCAGATGACAAGTCGATGGTCAGCAGGCAGATCAGCTCCACAGGAGGTCCTGGTGTCAAGGACATGGGCCCGCATCCGCTGTTCCGTCAAACACACACACGGGTCGGATATGCGACGTCCTAACCAAAGATTCACTGTTGTTCACTAACTCGGGAGTTTGTGTGATGTTGATATTTTATAACCGATGGTGATAAAAATAATACGAATAAGAATAATATACTGCAGATTTTTTGTTAAAAATGTTAAACAATTTTTTTTTTTATTTCAACCGCAGCCCGTTCTTGTTTCAACGAGGCATCGCCTGCACCTTGTGAGCGTCGTTTTATTTTATTTTTTTACGCGCTAGTCCTGCGGAGAGAGATGTCTTCGATATGAGATGTGCCTTATACGATGCTGTCGAGGTTATAATGAGTCTCGTTAGTACATCTCGCGAGCGGTTGCAATGTCTGTGGGGGGGGGGGGGGGGGGAAATAGAAATATCTTTGATATGCCTCATCGGATTCCTGCAGTGATTAATAAATGTGACGATTCTGAGACTCGCAAGAGAGACGGACTCGCAGAGGTACTCCAAGTTGGAGACACGGACACTCACACAGACTTGCACAGACTCAAGACTCGCATAGAGATCCAGAGACTCGCACGGAAACACCCACCCACACACGGGTCGGATATGCGACGTCCGAACCAAAGATTCACTGTTGACGACTAACTCGGGGATTTGTGTGATGTTGAGATTTCATAACCGATGGTGATGATATACTGCCGATTTTTTTTTTTAAATATTAAAAAAAACAATTTCAACCGCACTTCTGTTTCACCGAGGTCTGTAAGGCGCAGCTTTCGCGTACCAAAAACTAAGCCACGTCTGAACCTGGTGGAGCAATACGCCTCGACGCGTGTTTGACGCGTCTTAAATCACAGTTTATTTCTTACTTGATTTGAAGCTTTCGTGACTTGCAGGAATCCACGCACTTTGGTACTCTCGGTGGGGTCATCACTGTAGTAAGGAAGAACGTAAAGAATGGATGACGGACCTTCCGATCGCAACACAAGCAGCGTCCGTCGTCAGACGTGAAACAGCCACGGCAGAGGAGGGACTGGCCCGTCGTAGGAGAGAGAGAGAGAGCTGCTGCGTCGAGAGTTCGCGTGGGAGTTTTGGTGGGGCCCAGCGCACTGGCTAGTGGGCGGAGCTAGAGAAGGAATTTGTACGTAAATGCGAGGGGTCGGCGTGTCAATGTGAGGTACACACAGTGAGAGTGGTGCACAGAGACACAGAGAGTTGGAAATAACAGCTGACATAGGTAGGTAGGATGGAAACATCACAGTCAGTTAAGACTTTACCTGGTTGATAACGTCCTTCCAATGATTGCTCAGTTTGTATCCACCTTCCCGGCTGAAGTCGTGGCTGCGGCAGCAGTTACATTGGGGAAACGAAGCGACATGTCTCGGGCCGCGTTCGCAGACACAAGGCAGATCTGAAACACGCTAGGACCAATACCTCTGCCGTTGCTGATCATTGTGTTAACGCAGTGGGCTCGCACGAATTTGATTTTTCCCAGACGAAGGTGCTCTGCAAACCCACCGGTTATCATCAGAGATTTGTTCATGAAGCCATCCAGATATATAAACACAGACACGACTTCAGCCGAGAAGGTGGATACAAACTGAGCAATCATCGGAAGGACGTTATTAACCAAGTCTTAACTGACTGTGATGTTTCCTACCTACCTATGCCGGCTGTTATTTCCGACTCTGTGTCTCTCTCTGTGCATCACTCTCACCACGTGTACCTCTCGCTCTTGGGGGGGGGGGGTTTGGTTCCTGTTGCACGGGCTCTCTGACATTGCCACGCCAATCCTCTCATTGGCACAACCTCCCGATGGCTGGCTGGGCCGTTTCACACTGACACGCCGACCCCTCGCATTTACGTACAAATTCCTTCTCTAGCTCCGCCCACTAACCAGTGCGTTGGGCCCCACCAAAACTCCCACGCGAACTCTCGACGCAGCAGCTCTCTCTCCTACGACGGGCCAGTCCCTCCTCTGCCGTGGCTGTTTCACGTCTGACGACGGACGCTGCTTGTGTTGCGATCGGAAGGTCCGTCATCCATTCTTTTTGTTCTACCTTACTACAGTGATGACTTCACCGAGAGTACCAAAGATTATGGAATTCTTGGTTCTTACGGTAACGTCACGTATTTCCCTTCCACGCGGCGACTTTACCGAAAGAACCAAGAATATGAATTCCTGCAGGTCACCAAAACTTTAAATCGAAAAAAAAAATATGCTTAGTTCTTTCGGTAAAGT